CTCAGCATATTTAAAATTGAACTCAGCCTCTCCTCTGAAACAAGGTTCTATTTGTCTCCTCTATTTAAGGTTGTTGTTTTTTTTCCTGTATCATCTGGATTTGAGTATCCTTTAGATAGTCCAGTGAACACTAGCTTGACCATCCTTCCTGGGGCAGGGAACTACCTTCTTGTCCAAGATGTTTTTGCAGTAACCAGAAAGACTTCTTTAGAAAATAAAACCCAAGTGATTTTATCAGCTGGCCTTGCTCGACCATCTCGGAGAAACGATCGACTTGTAGACGTCTTGATTGAATGAGTGCGATTGAGAAGGACTGGGAAGCAAAGCCAGGAATCTTCTTTGGGGAATCAAGGCATTCAGAAGTGTATATGAGGGAATTTAAAAGGCCACAGATGCAGACTAGCCTCCATCTACCCTCCACCCCCCAAAAAAACCCTGTTGCCATGGAGTCCATTCTGATTCATAGTGATCCCAGAGTAGAACTAGCACATGGCGTTTCCAAGGCTGTAATCTTTACAGAAGCAGACTGCCACGACTTTCTCCCATGGAGCTGCCGGTGGTCTCGGACCAAGGCATTTAGTTAGGAGTGTTCAACCACAACACCAGGGCTCCTTCAGCCCTCCACTACCCCAACACCAAGCCCACTGTGCTACTGTGTCTTGTCCAAACAGAAAGTATTAACATCCCAGAAACAAACAATACAGAAACCCTTCCCCATCAAGTTGAGTCTGACTCATAATGCAGAACTGTTCCTATGGACTCCCAAGACCATGGGGCCAAACCAGGCTGGTTCTCCACTTACAAAAGTCGTTATTTCCCATCTGTCGGCAATTGGACATCCCTTTACAGAAGGGTCTCTGGGAGGAGACAAGCCTGTCAGGGTGTGATGTAGCAACGATGAAACATACAACTTTCCTCTAGTTCCTAAATGCTTCCTCCCCGCCACTATCGTGATCCCAGTTCTACCTTACAAATCTGGCTAGACCAGAGCATGTACACTGGTACAGATAGGAACTGGAAACACAGGGAATCCAGGGCGGATGATCCCTTCAGGACCAGTGGTGTGAGTGGCTATACTGGGAGGGTGGGTTGGAAAGGGGGAACCAATTACAAGGATCTACATATAACCTCCTCCCTGGGGGATGGACAACAGAAAAGTGTGTGAAGGGAGACATCGGACAGTGCAAGACATGACAAAAGAATTATTTGTAAATTATCAAGGGTTCATGAGGGAAGGGGCTGTGGGGAGGGAGGGGAAAAAATGAGGAGCTGATGCCAGGGGCTTAAGTGGAGAGCAAATGTTTTGAAAACGATGAGGGCAATGAATGTACAAATGTGTTTTACACAATTGATGTATGCATGGATTGTGATAAGACTTGTATGAGCCCCTAATAAAACGATTTAAAAAAAAAGTCATATTTCCTGCTTGTGACAATTCAAGTGTACACTAATAAGCCAGAATGTTAGCATCAGGCCATTCAACACTGCATGTGGAAACACTATTATTTGTGAAATAGTCTCTTTATAGTCCACATGGCAGAGGCTAGTGATTCATAATCAGACTCACACTAGCAACATTTGCCTTTCTCTCGTGGAATCATGACAAATAAACTACCTCCTGGCAGAACTTTGCATAAGTTGCCGCTGAGTCAACAACTGAAGACCACCCCATTTGTACAGAGGACAACTGCATGCCATTGGGTGTTCAAGGCCATGACCTTGCAGGAGCAGATCACCAGCCTTTCTTTCAAGTCAACTTGGACTGGGTTCCAACCACCGAGCTTTGTTAGTATCCCAGCACTTAAACCATCTGTGCTAGTGAGGAACTCTTGAATCAGAGGCCATCAATTCCGACTCATAGTAACCCTACAGTACAGAGTACAATTATTCCATAGGATTTCTGAGGCTGCAAACCTTTATAGGAACAGACAGCTTGGCCTTTCTCCTGGGGAGTGCCTGGTGGATTGGAACCACTGGCCTTGTAGTTAGCAACTCAGTGATGAACTCACTGCCTACCAACACGCCTTGAATCACATAAGGGCTCTTAAAACCTATAGGAAAGCTTCTCTAATTGGTTCTAAAATTCCGTACAGATTTTAAGAACTCAAGATGCTTCAAAAGAGGGTCAGTATTCCTAATGCTTTAGATTTTGGACTCTTCTAAGAAAAACATTTACATTGCAGCTTTAGAAAAAAATCTTAGCTGTTAAAAACTTATACAGAGACCGGCTCCGGCCGCCGGGCC